AAGAAGGTGGTCCTGTCTTCTCATTGCTTTCCTCTAAGATCGTGAAGAGTGCCATGATGGTCAAACCCATGTGGGTCTGTTTTTCTAAGATCAGTACAGTCAACTCTAGCTATGAGATCTCTACTGTTGTACCAGGTGGGATGTGGTCAGTAGTTAATGATGAGCACTTTTCTCTCAGGGTAGTTGGTAGATTAAAGTTTTGTTGACTGAATGCTGAAGGGGGCACCTAAGGGATAATTTATTGAATCGATTGAAATTTTTTGCCCCTGTTTCTCTTGAGTAGTGATTAGATTAGTATACTTCACCACTTTTTTCAACGACAAGTAAAGAATAGGAAAACGCTACTTCTCAAATGGAGACTCAAGTTGCCTCCATGTTTTTGTTTTTGTTTTTGAAGTCCTTACTGTTTTGAAGGCTATTAGGAGAACTTCCAATTACAAACCCTTTCACTCATGAGGGTAACCACAGGATTGGAAAAATTTGCTCTTCAGTGAAAATGAGCAAATATGATTGATTTTGATATCGCTGTTTGGGGACTTATATAGTTGATCAAGGTTGTTTCTAAATAGTGTATAAGTCAACCTTACTGATCAGTCACTGCCTCTCAGTTCCTATACACTTAATGAAACCTTGGAGACCTTGTACCAGCTATAATCAACTCTTGAAGATAAACCTAATTTTAGAGTTCAGACTGAATCTACCCTCTGCTCATCTGGGGATTGAAGATAATGACACTCTATTATGGCCTTTGAATACTAGGAAATTTTATGTCTAATTTTGAGTTGCCTAGGCAACACGAGGTTAGTTAAGGACCAAGTTTCAATCTTGGTTTTAAGAACTTAGTTCAGACACACTGCACATAAGTCCTACCCTGATGCCTCGTGGTGGCGTGGAGACCCTTTGTTCTTGAAAACGATGCCAGCGCAGCATGGCTGGGGCAGCTCTCATCGAGCCAGAAGCCTCTTGGATGAGTGTTACGGATATTTTATTCAGGAAGAGAATCGGAAAGCAGTGATATCGTGAGCACTGAATGATGTCACCAAAATGAAATCGACCATATCCTAATGGACAGGAAAAGACTGGCTACCCATTAGTGGGTAGCAAACAAATCAGCATCTGCAGTCCCTGTTCAGTACAGTCATTGGCTAGATGGAACCAAGATCAAAAACCAATATTGAGTTAGCAAAAAGGATAAAGAAAAGATATCACTGGTCAGAATAACAGCGGCTCCCAACTGAGTTGTGTTAAACAAACTCGGCTCTAAAAAATGGGAAACAGAATGAAGTAAAATCTTTGGTTCTGTCTCCATTTCTTATAGAAGTTTCAATTCATTAAACATTTACTGAGCCTACTGTGTGCCAGGCACCAGGCTAATGAGTCCAGAAACTGCTTCAGCCAGCAAACATTTGATCTTTCTGCCGACGGGAGAGATACGTTAACCAAGGGTAGCATGACATGCACTTTGAGAAACATTATTGAGGAGGAGGATGGATAATATTGAGTGGTGTCACCTCACAACACAGCTAGAAACATGTAAGGGAAACAAACCCATGGAAAGCTTGGCACGAAACTCCCCTCAGCCGGGACGTCCCTAGAGTGCATGGAGATGGAAATGGAAAGAGGATATTTGTCAGATGTTAATCTTCACAGTATCTTTTTGTCCTCAGCACTTAGCACAGAACTGCCTCACCCATAGTAGGAGCTTTAAAAAGTGTGCTGAATTGAACAGAATGTGCCAGAACCAAGGCAAGTGGAACCATCCCATTTAGGCCCTGTCAACTTTCTCCTCGATTGTAATATAGCAGGAAAGGACTTTGGGACTTGATGAAATTGGGAATAGCAGCTGATTTCACTAAAAACATATAGAAGAAATTTGTGCTGCCAGTGATGCAGTTTTAAAGAAGCTTTAGGGATGGATTTTTAAAGCATTCTCAAAGAGAGGAAGGTTCAAAAAGAATGAAAAAGAACATAGATGGGATGATACTTCCTCCACTCCCCTTCCCCCCCCCAAAAAAGGGACCCAAGGCCATCTGGAGGTGTTTGCATTCTCTCACCCATGTGAGCTCGGCTCCTTTCACCAAGTGTTAGCATCCACTGAAGCATAAAACAAAGGAAAACCTTTGCCTCCATAAAGTGTGTGCCAGGATGTTCTGTACAGAGTCCAGCTCAAAGGATTATGCCTCTAGTGAAGTTCTCCAAATACTTCTAATTGCAAATGATGTTGTACTAATTGTACCAAGCCCTGGATTATTATAAAGCCCCTTCAGCGAAGTACAGAGTTATTCAAGATCAGTCAGCCAAACAATCCATATTGAAAAAACAAAACAAAACAAAAACCCAAAGCAGATGAAAAATGCAATCACCCGGATTACAACATGTGGTTGGATGGGAAGTGTTGAGTGAGCCCACGCATGTGTGTGTTGTGTGTATGTGTGTCTTGTACAGGCTCTGCAGACAAGGCAGTGAGTGTGGACCAGAGTTACCTAGGCCAAGGAGGTTCTGATGGAACACATTTGGGAAACTGGTTCTGAGAAGCTCATTTTGTTACAAACGGCACATTAGAAATGATTCTGGATTTGCAGCTGGGAGGTTCTGGACTCGGATTCCGCCTCTGCTTTTTCCTGTCTGTTCTAACCTTTGGTGATTTGCTGAATGTGTCTTGGCCTCAGTTTCCCCATCTACAGAATGAGGGATTTTGACTAGATGTGCCCTAAGGTCCTTCCAGCTCTGGATCGCTATGGTCCTATGGTCCTGGTGATGCCATGTGCCTGTGATTCTTGGAATGCCATCATCTAAGCTAGTTTACATTGTAGGAGACATCTAGGACTATAGAAAAAAATGTTCCTTAGAGTAAGTAGACTGTGGCATATTCGGGACCCCCCTCCCCCAAAGTGACTTGTATAATGATAGTGGAGAAGATCCCACTGCATGGGAGAGCTCACCAAAGTGGGCGGGGCTCCATTCTGGTAGAAAGAGAATGAGGGATGACAAAGTGACTTAGGCACATCTGAACCGCATCTCATCTTCGCCAAGTAAACTGCAGTGACTCTTCGTTGCCTCTAAGGATAAAATGGAAAGCACCCAGTGTAGCCTTTATGTCCCTTTGCCACCTGGCCTCTGCCTGTTCTCATCAAACGTTATTCCCCCTCCCACACTCTGCTGTTCCTCTGTCTCCAGCTCCATGCCTCTGTCCTGGCTCCTCCCTTGCTTGGAACAAGCTCCCTGCTCACCTTCCGTGGCCCTGCCGAGTCCCCGACTCCTTTCGAGGGGCACGTTGGCAACGCTTCCGACTTTAAGCATTTCCTCTTTCCTTCCCGTTACTCGTACCCCCTCCCTCCCCAGTTCCCTGGTGTTTAACTATTTTGCATGTGTTCTCTTTATATCCATGTACTGTGTCTTCCCTAGTAGAAAGTAAGCATGTTGTGTAAAAGGATTGTTTGTGTTTGTATCTGTGGTGCCCAGCATGTAGTAGGTGCTTAATAATGCTTGTTGATTGATTGACTGTGAGCAACTGTGGACATTTGTTCAGTGGCTGCTCTGTTTGGGGTATGGTGATAAAGATGAAATGGTCCTTGCCTTCAGGGAACTTATGTTTTTAGGTAGATTATTAAAACCCACTGGGAAATCCAGATCCTTCTGTTTGGCATTCAGAGCTCCCTGCAGCCTGACTCCAGCCTCCTTGTCCAGGTGTAATACACATTGCTGTCCTTCACTCGGCTCTGTGTCTGAGCCACATGTGTATGTGTATAATATGCCATCTCCCATCTCTGGGTCTTTGCATAGGTTGTCTGTTCCCTGTACCTGGAACGCGTTTCATCCTACACTCGACACATTGAACTGCATCACCATAGGAAAAAAATGATCCCATCAGTGAATTCCTAAGAAGGATTGTGTCGTAGCACTTCCAGGAACAATCCCTAGGCTCCAAAGGCAATCCAGATCTCATTTCTTCAGAAATATGTAGGGCATTTTGGTCTGGAGCAGATACTTGTTTCACCAGGAGGAATCATCTGTTTTAGACTTGCCTGGTGCTAGTTTCTGATCCTCCCTAGTTCAGTGTTAAAGATAGAGGCCGGGCAGCAGGCAGTCTCATTTTCCTCCTTCAATCCTTCCTGTTACTCTGTCAGCATAATCTTCTTAGAGTGTAGTCTGATCCCATTGTCTACCAAATAAACCTGTATTTAGGGCCAGTGGGTATCTGAATTGGGGGAATCAGACTCTGGAATTTTATACTAAATAGAGAAGGAATTGATTTGTTTCAGAATTCCTGGAGGCTTGTTCACTGAGAAGTGACTTCTCATGTGGAGGGGAAGAGAGGTTTCTTTTCTTAGGCACTGTTAAAAAAAAAAGCACTTGGTGTTCAAGATTATCTGTTGTGTTCCTTTGAGGGTACTTGTGTCCCTCTCTACAGCTTCCCCCTTAGATTATAAGTTCCTTGAGGTCAGAGACCGTCCATTTTCATCTTTAAGTGCCCGGTCTCTAGCAGTGTGCCTCGGCTATAGGGCTTGGGCCTGGTTCTCTGACTTAAGTGATATAGGAAATTCCCAGGTGAGGGAATGCCCTCGCTCAGTGCCTTTGACAGCTTTTCTGCAATTTGCTTCAATCACTAAGAAGATTAGTAATTTGCTCAGGGTTGTAGGGCTTTGAGGCCAGCTCTCTGTCCCCTACTACACAGTCTTGTTCATAATAAATATTTATTGAATTGAATACGTCTGGGAGAGTTTCTCCTTCTGATCTAAACAGCACTTTGGAAGATGGCCTGTTAGAAAATCGGGGACTGGCCATATTGCCTAATTTAATCAATCAGTAATAGTTAAACATTTTTCTGAATCAAAGAAAGCCTTTTTCTTTCTTTTGTGATTGCTTCTACCACCTCGTCCTGGCGGGATCCAGCATCGGCTGACAATCCGTCTCCCTTGTCCAATCCAGTTAGGAAGTGACAAGAAGTCTTTGGTATCCATCTACCCCGTTGGGTCAGCTTCCTTGTCTGCCTTTCCCAGGAGTTCCCGGTGTGAAAGCCAGTCGCTTGGAGGAAGGTCTGCAGGTGAAACATTGTGCCCTGTCGCTTGTAGGAGAGCCCATCATGTATCCAGAAATCAACCGCTTCCTGAAACTGCTTCACCAACGTAGAATTTCCAGCTTCCTGGTCACCAATGCCCAGTTTCCCACGGAGATCAGGTGAGGTTTGTTTGGGATGGTGATTATTCAGGCCTCTTAGGCCTAGCCAGACTTGCCAATCAAATCTGTGTTTGACTGATGTCCAAACTCTGATTAAGCTACCTTAGTAGCAAGTGGGATGTCTGTTCAATATGGAGTCTATGAGAGAATGACCATTGATCTCTTCCCTTTCTTTTTTTTATGACTTAAAGATTTATTGATTTGTTTTTTTTAATCACTGCCCTTTTCAGGTTGACTTCCTATCCCTCCCTCTAGTAAGCCTTCCTTTTTAATGGGGAAAATAATTCGAACAAAGCCTATTGATAGAGTGATGTCCCTATCTGACGGCATTTACAGCCTTCTAAATTCATAGGCTCCTCCCCATCTCTTCATAATCTCTCCCCTCCCCCCTAAGAAGGAAAGGAGCAAGGTGCCATTCTTCAGCTTTTTGCTGGCATCCAAATTGGCCATTCTAATTCTGACAGGATTTGCCTTCATTTTGTTGTTCTTTTCATTTATATGATAGTCATTGTATATGTATATTTGTATATATGATTCATATATATATATATAATATATTTTTTTTTTATCTGGCTGCTGGACTAATTAATCTTTTGCTTTATCACTATTTTGACTTATTTGTCCTGTAATCTCCATTTACCTACTCAAATTTGGTTACTTCTCCCACCTTGCCCTAATTTCAGAGTGACAAAGGACTGGGATCCCTGCAGAAATTCTAGTAGTGACTGCTGTCATCAGCTTAGCAGGGTCTGGTATGCACTCTGTTCCTGGTTCTGTTGTGTCTAGGGTGTGGGAATATTTTAACTTTAGGCCCCCCCAAAAAAATCTGTATCTTATATACCACAAAGTACCTTGTACTCTGGGAGAGTTAGAATCTTGTTACAATTGAATGAATGAATGAATGACTTATTAAGCACTTACTGTGTACAAAGTACTGTCATCGAATAGCCATCCAATGAGAATCGTCATCCAGCTTCACTCATCCTTTGCCAATTGTCATATTTACCTGTAAAATGTCTTATCTACTTAAAAACAAAGAAATTCAACTTCCTCTCTAAGAAAAGTAGTTCTTAATGGTTTTAAGGAAGAGATTTTAACCGACCTTCACTCCGTTGTGCTGTTTGGTCCCTTATGCTTAGACCAGCTCTGATAATCTCTGTTTGACTGGCCGTGTGACCCAGCTGGGCTTATATCACCCTAAAAGAGGCTGCTGCCCAACCTCTAAAAGCAGTGGCTTTTTGTGAGTACACGGAATGACGACGTTTTGTGCACATTTCTTGAAATCAGTAAATGTGTTTTGTACGCCTGACTGAAAGAGCAGTTTGACCCTTGAAACATGATTTATTCTTTAATATTTGGGGGCTGGCAGACAATGATTTTTATGAGCAGGAGCGCTCTCACAGAATAGTGTGAGGCTGATTTTAAATTTAATAAAATGCATGTATTTTTTTGGTTGGGGGAGGTATGGAGCTGTGATTTTATTGGTGTGGGGAACTCTTGGTTTAGACACCCGCTGCACTGATGCTGATAGGCAGCTAGTGATAAATTAGTTCATTGAATTTATGGCATTAGGCCCAAAGTTTCTGCTCTTTGGATTCTCAGGAAACTGGCTAGACATGGCCCAAATAAGGATGGAAAGACTTGCTTCAGCAGCATGCGGGAAACAGCCCAGGCTGTGGGTCTTAATGAGTATTCCTATTAAACTGAAGGTCCCCGTTCATTGGCTCTTGCAATCCAGCTCCATGCTGGTGTTGTAAAATTCCGTACGCGACCCTCCCAGTAGCCAGTATAAAAGTTAATTAGTGTTCAGTGCCAGCATGAGCCCCTTCATGCAGCTGGTGATTCTGGTGCCTTTTTGGGGTTGGATGTTTGCGGATGTGACTGAGAGAACTTTCTTGTGGTAACCAGCTCTGTGTCATGTGTCATGTTTAATTTTTATGTGTGTTTTTAAAAATAGCCACATTTTTTGGGGGGAGGGGGGAAGGGGTCTTATATGATGTAATTCTCATAATTCTTTTAAAAGTTTCTTGGGGAGCTCAGACTAGTACCAGTGAGGCAGAGCTGTAAAAAGGGCACCAACTCTTCCTATTCGGGGGGGGTGCATTGTCCTCTAGGTTTGCAAGAGCATTTTTAGAGAGATGACTTCCTGAGAGGCCTGACCTGTTCACTGGGCTGGGTGAAAGGGCTTGATGTTGGGTGCACTAGTTGGCACCTCCACAGCCTCCAATCTGAAAGATAAAAGGCTTGGCCGCATTATACTGAATAAGCATGACCCAAAACGTGCTTTAGGACTTTGGCAAGCATAGCATAGGGAGAGGAGATTTTTGTAGCCTTTTAACACCTCTTGTGGGTTGATTTGGTTCAGAGTAATTTACTTTATCCTGGCTTTGATTAAGTCAAAGTAGTATGTGACCACAACTTCTGTGGGCCTCCATTTCTTCCTCTTTGGTGGGGGGAGGGTCTTAATCTGGGTTCATGGACGTGTTTTTAATGTTTTCGTAGCTGTATTCCAATAGACTTGCTTTCCTTTGTAACCCCCTGCATTTTGTTTTATGCATGTGTGGGTCAGTAGGCTTTGCCAGACTGGCAGAGGGGTCTGCGACAAGGGGAGGGTAGAGAGCCCCTGCATAAGAGATGATGTGGTTAGACTAGACTGCTGAGCCTCCTTCCAGCCTCAGTGCTGTCTTCCTGAGAAGCAGATCCCCAGCTGACTGTTGCCTGAACCTGTAACCAACATGTGGGTTTGTGGAGCAGATGGAGATGGTTGAGTCTGTCTGTCTGTGCTTCCTTGTCTTTGGGGCAGGCCTGCTATGGCTCTCCTTCCAGCCAAGCTTTTCCCTCTGCAATTTGAACTCAAGCCCAGAAGCTTTCTCTGAGCGATTATTGCCTTGAAAGAAAGCCTGAGGTGGGTGTGGAATAGTGTACCCGTTGGCTTACAGGCAGGGGCTGCTGAGGATGTACTCTCCTTTTGGGCAGATGTTTTGGGGGGCACTGTGGTCCACCTGGGCAGTAAGTACTGGGTCCTGGCCCCAGAGAGAGGTGGCAGTGGGCAGGAGGAGACAGGAGCTCATTCTTTGCTGAGGGAGGAACCTGGCACGTGTTAAGGCTGCCTGGGATGGGGGCCTTCGTGCTACTTGAATCCCTGGGAATTTTATTTTTATTTGATTTTTAAAAGTAGTATTTGAGGGGGCAGCTAGGTGGCGCAGGATAGAGCATTGGCCCTGGAGTCAGGAGGACCTGAGTTCAAATCGGCCTCAGACACATAACACTCACTAGCTGTGTGACCCTGGGCAAGTCACTTAACCCTGATTGCCTCATATTAAAAAATACAAGTAGTATTTGATGCCTTTTGTTTTTATCTCATTATCATTTCTTAGCACTCTGCTCCCTTCTCTGTCCTGTAGAACCTGCCCTGGAAACAGAAACAAGTAAGCTAAAGCCTTGGCATAGAGCCTGTGCCTGGTCCTTCCCCATTAGAATGGGAGCCCCTTGAGGGCAGGGGCTGTCATCATTTTTTGTTGTATCCTGGAACCTCGCAACATGCCTGGCACATTGTAGTGTCTAATAAATGCACGTTTATTGACTGACCGACTTTGCTACCCAGAGATTGGCCTTTACTATAAATCGGCTGCCTTGTGGTGTTGTTTTTATTTATATTGTTATCATCATCCTGAGTACTGTTCTCCTGGCTCTGCTTAACTTCTCTTCAAAAGTCAATTTCATTAGTATCTTTTGTTTTAGATCACCTGCGTTTTCCAGCGTCTTCCTCTTGCCTCCTCCTTCTCCCAGAGTGTAATCTTTGTTGTACAAGCAAAGAAGAAAAAAGAAAGTAAAAACGATTCAGCAGAACTCAGCGGCACATAGAAAAGTCTGACGTCGTATGAAGTGTTCTGCACCTGTGGTCCCCACCTCTGAACAGCAGGGCAGGGACGTGCCATCTCCTGCCTCTTTCTCAGGGCCCACATTGTTCTTTGTGATTGAGCTCCGCTCAGTTTGGATCGTTTGTTGCTGCTTTTCCCATTTGCGACATTTATTCACCAGTTCTGTTCGCTTTTCTCTGCATCAGTTCTGTGCAAGTCTTCTCGTGCTTCTCTGACTCCCTCGTGTGGGGCGTACGGCGGTGTTCCATGAACGCTCTCCTGGCCGGCGTCTCCTGGAGTCCTTCTCTTCCTTCAGGATGCAGCTCAAGCCTCACCTTCTGCATGAAATGTTTCCAGACCCTCCCGACTGCTGAGACCCTCCCTCCTAGACTCCTCTATTTATAGACTTAGACAGCGCTTCGCTGCCCCCCACCCCCACCCCGAATGCGAGCTGTTTGAGAGTGCGATTGTGTCATTCTTTGTGCTGGTGTCTCCGGCGCCTCCCAGTGCAGTGGCTGGCCCACAGTAGGTGCTTGGTAAATACTCGCTGATTGATTTTCATTCTCATTGCTGCCACTTGACAGCACGCCCTCCTTTACCAGCAGCGTGGAGCGCTGCAGTGACTGCCAGCCTGTCTTCTTTCTTCTGTCCTCTGCCCCTTCTCAGCCGTCCTTCACACAACTGCCAGATTCTGTTTCCTTGTTCACAGATCTGATCGTGTCAGTCCTCATACTCTGAACCTTTCAGGGGCTCCCTCTGGCCCATGGAATAAATCCCAAGCTCCTTAATATGGTCTTTCGTGGTCTTCCTCTCATCCTAAATGCTCCCCCCCTATATTTTATGGGCCAGTCAAGCTGGACTAACTTCCCTCCTTTCTCCCCCTTGTGTGCCTTTGCTGATGCCTTTGCCTGAGGCTGGTACACTCTGATCTCCATCTCTCAGCTCAGATGGGTCCTCCTCCATCCGCCATCCCTCCTTCCAGTCAGAAATGACCTTTCCTTCCTTGGATCTCTCATGGATACTTTGAGCTTCTACCACGCGCTTCTTAGGGTCTGCTTGTGTACTTCCGTCATTTCATTGTGGCCATAGTTCTGTACTCTCTGTAACCTCCAGAAAGACAGGCCCCACCTCCTGTCTGTC